CATAGTGCACAGCAACCTCAAACTCTTGAGGTCAAGTGATTCTCTCACCTTAGCCTCCTGAGCAGCTGGGACTATAGGTAACTGCCACAATGCTCGGCTATTTTTCTGTTTTTTATAGAGACAGGGTCTTGATCTGGTTCAGGCTGGTCTCAAACCTGTGCGTTCAGGCAATCTACCCACCTTGGCCTCCCAGAGTGCTAGGATTACAGGCTTGAGCCATTGCGCCTGGCCTTAAATTTTTTTTTGTTTAAATTTCAGATTAATACGAGCACACAAATGATTAGATTACAATGTTTACTTTTGTTAGGTAAGGTTCCTACTGTAGTTGTATTCTGCATCCAAGAGGTATGCCATATACTCTTACATTGTGCCCATTAGGTGTGAGTACACTAAGCTTTTTCTAGTCTTAAGGAACTGTGTTTATAAGGTCCCATAGAAAGGAAGCACTACTAGAGTGCAGGCTTTTCTGCTGTGATGCCTCCACCCATTCAAGTCTCATCCAAACCACCTTGAATCCTCCAGAGAGGAGGATTTCTGCCCAGGTGGCAGAGTATAAATGGCCTTCGTGTAGGACTAGTCTGACATTGTTATATAGACTTTTTATTTAATAATGCAAAACTGAACTAACACCTCTAGCACCATCATTACCTGACATGGGAAATGGAGGGAGCAGTGAGTTTATTTGCTCGTTCACTGCTCTGAAGTTTTGTCCTTAATTCGTTCATCTCTGCATCTTTAAACTGGAGTTCAGACTGCAGTGATTGGAGCTGGAAGGCAAAAGAAACAAAACTTGCAGTGGTCCCATCATATATATGAAAATATGTCTAGGCTTCAGAATCCCAAGCTAGTAAAGGAAAAAATGAAAAATACATATGAAGGTAAACTGTGGGCTGAGCATGGAGGCTCATGTCTGTAATCCCAGCACTTTCGGAGGTTGAATGGGAGAATCACTTAAGCCCAGGAGTTCGAGGCTATAGTGAGCTATTATCATGTCACTGCACTCCAGCCTGGGGTGACAGAGTGAAATGATCCCCTTATGTAAGAGAGAGAGAAAAAAAAGAAAGTCTGCTGTGATATGTTCTAAAAATCAAACATTAGCTTTGTTCCTAATGACAACATGGTGCTCTAGAAAGATATTTGACTTTTGTGAGGGTTCAAATACCAGCTCTACCATTTATTTAGCCTCTCTGAGACTTTTCACATCTATAATATTAAATACTTGGCTTCATCGTGGTTGGAGGGATTAAAGCGGAACAATGAATGTAACATGTCCAGTACAGAGCCTTCCTTAGAATTTTAGAATTTGAAATGAGAGAGGCCAAATCTTTTTTTTTTTTT